GGAGACACCAGCGGGGACCTCACCTCCACCAGCTGCATCAGGTTCTCGAAGTAGACCTCCTCGTCGATGCTGAGCTTGCTGGAGGAGTAGATGATGCGGTAGTGCTCCACCTTGCCCTCGCAGCTGACGCACAGGGTGTAGTCGCCGGGGTAGTTGGTGCTCTCCCGCACCAGGAACAGCCCCGTCTCGGGGGGGTACAGCAGCCGCTCCGCCTGCTCCCGCGTGATCTTCCCGTGGAACCACCTGCAGGGCCACGCAGGGCGGGCTGGGACTGCGTGTGGGGCAGCTTTTGGCCCTGCCTGCGAGGGGACGGTGCTCCTCGCTGTCCCCGTGCTGCTCCTCGCTGTCCCCGTGCTGCTCCTCTGTCCCCGTGCTGCTCTTCATTGTCCCCATGCTGCTGCTCCTCACTGTCCCCGTGCTGCTCCTCGCTGTCCCCGTGCTGCTCCTCACTGTCCCCATGCTGCTGCTCCTCACTGTCCCCATGCTGCTCCTCTGTCCCTGTGCTGCTGCTCCTCGCTGTCCCCGTGCTGCTCCTCACTGTCCCCGTGCTGCTCCTCTGTCCCCATGCTGCTCCTCTCTGTCCCCATGCTGCTCCTCTCTGTCCCTGTGCTGCTCCTCGCTGTCCCCGTGCTGCTCCTCGCTGTCCCCATGCTGCTTCTCTCTGTCCCCGTGCTGCTCCTCTCTGTCCCCATGCTGCTCCTCGCTGTCCCCGTGCTGCTCCTCTCTGTCCCCATGCTGCTCCTCGCTGTCCCCGTGCTGCTGCTCCTCTCTGTCCCCATGCTGCTCCTCTGTCCCTGTGCTGCTGCTCCTCGCTGTCCCCGTGCTGCTCCTCTCTGTCCCCGTGCTGCTCCTCTCTGTCCCCATGCTGCTGCTCCTCGCTGTCCCCATGCTGCTCCTCTCTGTCCCCATGCTGCTCCTCACTGTCCCCATGCTGCTCCTCTGTCCCCATGCTGCTCCTCTCTGTCCCCATGCTGCTCCTCTGTCCCCGTGCTGCTCCTCACTGTCCCCGTGCTGCTCCTCTCTGTCCCCATGCTGCTGCTCCTCTGTCCCCGTGCTGCTCCTCTCTGTCCCCATGCTGCTCCTCTCTGTCCCCATGCTGCTGCTCCTCACTGTCCCCGTGCTGCTCCTCTCTGTCCCCATGCTGCTGCTCACTGTCCCCATGCTGCTCCTCTGTCCCCGTGCTGCTCCTCTGTCCCCGTGCTGCTGCTCCTCACTGTCCCCATGCTGCTCCTCTCTGTCCCCATGCTGCTGCTCACTGTCCCCATGCTGCTGCTCCTCACTGTCCCCGTGCTGCTCCTCTGTCCCCGTGCTGCTGCTCCTCACTGTCCCCGTGCTGCTCCTCTGTCCCCGTGCTGCTGCTCCTCACTGTCCCCGTGCTGCTCCTCTGTCCCCATGCTGCTCCTCTCTGTCCCCATGCTGCTGCTCCTCACTGTCCCCGTGCTGCTCNGGGGGGTACAGCAGCCGCTCCGCCTGCTCCCGCGTGATCTTCCCGTGGAACCACCTGCAGGGCCACGCAGGGCGGGCTGGGACTGCGTGTGGGGCGGCTTTTGGCCCTGCCTGCGAGGGGACGGTGCTCCTCGCTGTCCCCGTGCTGCTCCTCTGTCCCCGTGCTGCTGCTCCTCGCTGTCCCCGTGCTGCTCCTCTCTGTCCCCGTGCTGCTCCTCTCTGTCCCTGTGCTGCTCCTCGCTGTCCCCGTGCTGCTCCTCACTGTCCCCATGCTGCTCCTCTCTGTCCCCGTGCTGCTCCTCTGTCCCCGTGCTGCTCCTCTCTGTCCCCGTGCTGCTCCTGTCCCCGTGCTGCTCCTCGCTGTCCCCATGCTGCTCCTCTGTCCCCATGCTGCTCCTCTCTGTCCCCGTGCTGCTCCTCTCTGTCCCCGTGCTGCTCCTGTCCCCGTGCTGCTCCTCACTGTCCCCATGCTGCTCCTCTCTGTCCCCGTGCTGCTCCTCGCTATCCCCATGCTGCTCCTCTCTGTCCCCGTGCTGCTCCTCGCTGTCCCCGTGCTGCCCCCCCACCCACCCTGTGACCCAGCTCCTTCCACCGTCCCGCTCCCCTCCTCCTGGCCCCAGCTGGGATTCTGTCCCTCTGTCCCTCTGCACGCTCCCAGGAGGTTCCTCCTCCAGCCTGGGAGTCTCTGGCAGCTCTGGGATGCAGCAAGAACATCAAACCTTCTGTACAGACCCCATTCCAACCTTCCCTCTTCCTCCAGCAGCCTTTACAACCCTAGCCTTGGGTAAAAAATCCAATTTAAAACATGACCCAACCATCCAATCACCTTCCCAGCCATGCAGGCAACTCCCAAAACACTCAGAGCCCTCCCCAGCAGCAAATTCCAATCCCAAATCCACGCTGCTGCCCCTCGTGCCCTCTGAGGAGTGTCCCTTCTGCTGGGACACAGCTGTGGCCACAGGGATGCCACCTCCCCCGGGAGCCGGAGCCCTGGCTGCTACTCACGGCATGAGGCTGAGCTTGATGCCAGCTTTCACCCCTTCCCGCTTCTGCACGTAGTTAGCAGGAATGATGCCCTCCCTGCCCACCTTGTTCTTCGCCTTGTACCAGTTGGGATCCTGTGGGGACAGCAGAATGTCACCACGAGCCCTGCACCCCACCCGAGGAGCTCTCTGAGCCCCGAGCACCCCTGCAGACCCCTCTGTGGGGACAGCAGGATGTCACCACGAGCCCATGGGTGCTGCACCCCACCCGAGGAGCTCTCTGAGCCCCGAGCACCCCTGCACCCCCTTGCTGCTGCAGGAAGGATGGGGTGAGCAGCAT